GCCGCAGGAGGCCCCAGGAGGTTCCAGGAGACCCCCAGGAGGCTCCAAGGCGGACTCTGGGGTACGAGAAGATACAGAAAGCCCCAGGAGGCCCCAGGAGGTTCCAGGAGGCTCCCAAGAGGCTCCGAGGCGGGGTCTGGGGTACCAGAAGGTACGTCGGGGCTCGATTTTGGGAGGATGTCTCAGGCGAAACCGCCATTATGTGAGAATCGGTGTCAAAATCATTGAAATTACAATTAATGTTTGAAGGTGTTATGTTAGAATGCTGAAATTTCGATGTGTTTTTGGACCCTGACGTCACGATCTGCGTGAGGGGTGCCACCGATTTTCAGAATTTCGAGGATGTCCCGAGCGAAACGGCCAGAACCATCGCGGACGCCCCGCGTACGCATTAATCGCCTCTGAGCTCTACTCCCTCGGAGAGGTGCGTATGATAATACATATATTCAGATATGTGTAAATACAAGTGGCACGTGTGTGCCCAGGCTCATACAAAAAATTGAAAGGGCGTTTGAAGCAGGAAGACACCATGACTGCAGGATCGGAGATGGAGAAGGGGAACATGGGGCGGCGCCGCCAGGGCGTGCCTAAGAGAAGGGGAAGAGGCAGGAGGTGAATGCAGAAGAATCTAAGATCGAGGTCGCACTCGAGCGCAAGTGGGGCTGCCACACCTTGCGGTGTGTGTGTGTGTGTGTGTACCAAGGCCCCCCGGGAAACCTCAGGAGGCCCGTCTTGGATACCGGAAGAGGCTCCAGGAGGCCTCGGGATTGTGAGCGTTGTGTGTGTGTGTGTACGATGTGTGCTCGGTGCTGTGCGTGTTTTCTGTGCGTTGTAGGAATTGTGTGTGTGTGTTATGTTTGTCTAGCGTGTGATGTGTTGGGTGTGATTTGTGTCTCTATGTGTGCATGTAGTTCTGAGGCCCCGGGAGGCCCCAGGAGGCCCCAGGCGGCCTCAGGAGGCCCCAGGAGACCCCAGGAGGCTCCAGGTGGTCCCAAGAGGCTCCAGGAGGCCGCAGGAGGCCCCAGGAGGCCCCAGGAGGTTCCAGGAGACCCCCAGGAGGCTCCAAGGCGGACTCTGGGGTACGAGAAGGTACAGAAAGCTCCAGGAGGCCCCAGGAGGTTCCAGGAGGCCCCCAGAAGGCAACGAGGCTGGGTCTGGGGCACAAGAAGATACGTCGGGGCTCGATTTTGGGAAGATGTCTCAGGCCAAACCGCCATTCTGTGAGAATCGGGGTCAAAATCATTGAAATTTCAATTATTGTTTGGGGGTTTTATGTTAGAATGTTGAAATTTCGATGTGTTTTTGGACCCTGACGTCACGATCTGCGTGAGGGGTGCCACCGATTTTCAGAATTTCGAGGATGTCCCGAGCGAAACGGCCAGAAACATCGCGGACGCCCCGCGTACGCATTAATCGCCTCTGAGCTCTACTCCCTCGGAGAAGTGCGTATGATAATACATATATTTATACATATATATATATAAATATATATATATATTCGTTACAATCTTAGAGAACACGTTGAGTCGCAATGCCATTTCATCCGAATCAACACCCCTCACAACATCCCTCACCCGTGCAATTGACAAAGCTCTGCGTCGCCAACATCCCGCCATCAGAATCGAACCCGAAACCACATGCTGCATACTTGTCGTTTGTGAGCATATTCCAGTAATGACCGGTCCTCATCCCCCAGTCAGTGCTCCCCGTGTCTAAAACTATCATGCCCTCGTCCCACATCTGTTGGAGGCATCCCATGAGCGTCTGTCTGCAGTCGTCGTAGCTACCACAGCTTCTGGGGCAGCAGCTGTTCTCAGCACCCAAGGGCCAGTCCAACTCGCAGTCCATTGCGGCGGTCGGGTGGCCACAACCCGCCCCCTTGTGCACCGCGTAGAGCTGATCAGATGCGGCCTTCTCGTTCATGCACTTTCTGATAGGTTCTGGTGCAAGCTGGAGCGGTTCAAGGTGCCCATGGTCCCGACGGCGCCCATCAGAGAAAGGCGCACCCGCCCTGAAGACATTGATCTTATCAACGCAGTCCTGTTGCAGCCTCTCCACGTCACACATCGTCATGTTACTCGGGTGCGCGACCAATGGGCTCGGCAAACCATGCGTATAAGTCTCCCCAGGCAGGGGGTAGTGGCTTGTCGGCTCGATGCCTGAGCAAGTGGGCGCCAATGCCGAATTCACTGACTGCAACAACGACTGAAAGAAATCACCCACAACCGCGAGCAGCTCCCGGAACTTGGTCTGCACAAAGTCTAGACTGGACGCAAGGAAAGAACTGTCGCTGCTTGTAGCATTCGGGCTTGCCTGCGGGTCGCTGGCTGGCGGTGGTGCCGAGGCAACCGACTGCCTCAAAATGGTCTCGTTGCGAAACGGTTCGGCCAGCTGCACTGGCGCCTGCTGCGCCTCCCCCTGCCCCGCCTCTGATGCATTAGCAAGGGAAGCTGCATTGCTCAAAGCGGTCTTCTTCAGCGCGTGCTCTGGGCCAGGCACGTGCGCCCGAAGCAGGCACAGCACGATGCCCAACGCGACCAGGGAGCCGGCGACGCTCGACCACCTCTTCCACGCAGGCCTCGCGGCTGCGCTCGTGAAGGCCGCCTCCCCCACTTCCTGGGCCCCCTCGCTTTCGATGGCCAGCAGCCCGCTCCGGTCCTGAGGTCCAGCCCCCATCGCACTGGCGCCGCGTCGCTCCAAAGTTCGTGGAAGACACGGCACGGAAAGGGACACTTTGGGAGCGGCCGGATGTCTGGGTGGGCCTCCCCTTGCGCCGCAATGACTCGAGCCAGAATGGCTGCGGAGCGTCTTGGGGCTCTCTTGGGGGCCTCTTGGGCCGTCTTGGGGCGATCTTGGGGGCTTCCTGGGCCATCTTGGACGCCGAGAAAGCCCAACGGGCGAATCTGTTGAAAGTATATGTTTCCCTAGAAAGGGAGTGGAAGTCGCCTTTTGAAGCGGGGCCCTCTTGAAGCGCCTTGTGTCGGGGATGGACAGACCTCCCTTTAGTAAAACGTGGTTTAGTGAAAACGACATCGGGCCCAAACCTGGCGAGCGCAAGCCTGGAAAACGAGGGCCACGGCGCCCTCTCGAGAACCGAAAACGGACAGTTCACTAATCGACGTGTCACTGTTGGGGGTTCTGTCCGCCCCCGATTGTGGGCCCCTTGGGCCGTCTTGGGGCCGCAGTGGGCAGTCTCGAGGCTGTCTTGGGCCGCTCGGTGGCCCTTTTTCGGCCCTCGAGGGAGCCCGGGAGGCCGTCGTGGGGGCCAGCCAAGGAGCGCCCGGGGAGCCTCCGGGAGCTCTCAGGAGAGCTCGCCTCTCCTCCTCCTCCTCCTCCTCCTCCTCCTCCTCCTTTCCTTCTCTGTGCAAGTCCGGCTGCGCCCTGTTCTGACTGGGCTCGAAGATGCCACAAGAGCTCTCAGGAGCTCCCAGGACATCCGGGGAAATCCCAGGAGCGGCTGGGAAGCTGTGGTTGGGCGTGGCTTAATGGGGGGGTCACAAATGGGGGGGTCAGAAAAGGTCCCCTTTCGTGCCCCTTTCGGGCCCCTCCAGAGCCCCAGGGGGCTCGTTTAGGTACCGTTTGGGTACCTTTTCGAACCACCCTCGCCACCCCCCCATTTATGACCCCCCCATTACGCGGCGCCCAGTGTGGGTCTGGGCCATTAGAACCGGGCTGCCGGGCTGCATGAGCCTTGGGGCACTCCACTACGTGCTGACGGCACGGTGGCGGACGACTCGATGAAGGGAGGTTTTGGAAGCGAACCCGAGAGACAGACATCGTCTGAGGAGGGACGATCACGTGGACTGGCTCAGTGAGGGAGAACACCGAGCTGGAGCTGGCTGTGCATCGCCGCTTGATCGGCGATGGGCCCTCGAAAGCGAAACCGCACCTTCCTGGGCGGGGTGGGGTATCGGACACCGATCGGCGTTGATTGAGCGAGCGGGGCTCGATGCGTTCCCCTCCCAAGTCTGTCCCCCCCGAACGTCGCCCATGACCTGGAGCAATTTTCGGGTCGTAACTCGACTCCCTAGCGGCCGTTCGGGACGATCCGGGCACCCCCGGAACGCCCTCGGGGAGGCGCAGCCACTGGACCGCACCCCGAGACAGGAAAGCCGCTGAGATCCGACGACAACGCCCGAAAACCTCTAACCTCGAACCTTGAGCTATCCCGCCCTAGCATTGCCCCTGACTGTCTTCTGATCCTCCCCGTCCAACAGCTCCCCTCGCCGTCCTCCGCCTCAGCGGTGAACGCTGGAGGCATGAGGGTCAGGATCTGACGCTGCCCCCCCACCCCAAGGGCGTGAACCCCTGGGGTGGATAGATCAAACTGAAGCGCAGGGAAGCCTCAAAAGAATCGCGAGGGCGAGGAGGACCCACCCTCAGGTCGGGCATGCCCCCCTACGGGCGGATTGTGGACGAACAATTAAAACTAGTGCAAAATAATACTCAAAAGTACTGGAAACATATTTGAAAGATCGTCCCCAGAGGGACGGGCCCGACTTGAACCCACCCCCAGCGGCCTCAGTAGCGAGGTCCTCCGGTCCCCCGTCGTCCCCTGGTAAAACAAGGCTAAGATCGGGATAAAAATCGCTCCAGAGCGTCCCGGAGCGCTCTCAGAGCGTTCCGGAACACGCTCTGAGAGCGGCCGCGGCGCCCCATACATCCTCCAGACCCGCCGATTCTCAGAGATTTTTCGAGCTATCCCGATCCGATTTTGTCCCGGTCTTCGCGTCGTTTTACCCATCCCCAAACCCCTCCCCCGGGAGCCCGGTCTGGCCCGGTCTGGCCGGCTGGAAGGCGGGGGGGGGTCAGGCCGACAGGGCCGGCTCAGGGCGCGTCGAGTTGCCCCAGGAGGCCCCAATGCGGCCCAAAATGGCCGCCGCGTGGCCCGAGATGGCCCCAGGACGCCTCAAGCCGGCCTCAAGACAGCCCGCCCGATAGGCCCCTCCTCCTCGTCGTTTTAGTCGCCCCCTCCTCCCGGGCGTGGGCGGGGGCGGCGCCTCCTGCCGCTCCGGGGCGGGGAAGCAGTCGAAGGCCTGGTCCTGGCGGGCTCGGCCGCGGGGGCTGGGCGCGCCGAGAGCGGTGGGCACGCAGGAGCTAGGGGGGGAAACAAACCTACCTCGCTTTTGACCACCCTCGCTTCCAAGAGATACCAAACGATGCCAGATTGCAGCCTGGACTGGTCAGGCCGCTTGACGAGGAGGCGCGTGGTATGGCTTGGTTTTTCCTGGAAGCGAAAGCGGGGTAGGTAATTCACGCTCTGAGAAGCGGCAGGAACACCAAGTAGGAATGCGGGCAGTACTTATATCCATATCCAGAGCGTCGTGGACTTTTTGGGAAGAGGTGCCGCAACGCCGAGGCGCACTGGATATGGATAAAATCAAGCCTCTTGGGGCCAGATTTTTCATCCATATCCAGCGCGTCTACGGTTTCTGGGGAAGAGGTCCCAAGAAACCAAGACGCACTGGATGTGGATATAATTATTGCCCGCAAGGAAGGCATTGAGAGCAGATCGGGTGTCCGCCCGCCCCCCGAGGGGGGAGGGGACAGGTGAATCCACTGGTCGGGCATGTCCTCCTACAGGCGGATTTCTTGGAAGGAAGATGCAATAGGGCCCCAGAAATATGCAATAGTAGCCAAAAGAATGCAAACATCCTCCCCATACTATGTTTCGACTGCTTCTGAACATCTCTCCCGTAGAGGGACATGCCCTAACCCACTCGATCCTTGAAGTAGGAAGGCACTTGAAGTAGATTGGAACCCGGGAGAATCCCCAAAATACCCACTCTCTTGAGGGATGGAAAAAACGACCCTACCCTGGGTTACAAGTGCGTGGTCTGTAAACCTCCTGGGACCCCCCAAAGCCTAGAGCCGCCAGGACGCGGCACATCACGCAGGGTTTACACTGTCAGCCCACAGGAGTTTCAGCGCACAGCGCCTCGTAAACCAGGGTAGGGGCGTTTTTTATGCCCTTGAGACTCTCAGCGACCGATGGGTACGTCGGGCGACGAGATCTGCACAGGGCCACGGCTCCTGCCGGGCCCCTCCTTGGTCCAGGAGCGGCGTGCAGGCCTCCCTGGCTCGGAGGGCGCGGCGAAGCGCACACCCCGCTCGTGGGCCCTGGCTTGGCGTGGCCAGCGGCGGTATTTCTATATCAGTATGTATGTATGTGTATATATATATATATATGTGTATATATATATATATGTATATATACATATATATATATATATATATATATATATATATTCTCATACGCACCTCTCCGAGGGAGTAGAGCTCAGAGGGGATTAATGCGTCCGTGCGTCCGTGCGTGCGTGCGTCTTCGATTTTCCCGGCCGTTTCGCTAGGGACATCCTCAAAATTCTGAAAATCGGTGGCACCCCTCACGCAGATCGTGAAGGAGAGGTCCAAAAACACATAGGATTTTCAACATTTTAACATAAAACCTTCAAAAACACATGGTAATTTCAATAATTTTGACCCCGATTCTCAGAGAATGGCGGTTTCGCCTGAGACATCCTCCCAAAATCGAGCCCCAGACCCCTCCTCGGAGCCTCCTGGGGGCCTCCTGGTACCCCAGACCCCGCCTCGGAGCCTCCTGGAGTTCTCCTGGGCCTGCTGAGGCCGCCTGGGGCCTCCTGGGGCTTCTTCAGAACTACATGCACACACAGAGACACAAATCACGCCCAACACATCACACGCTAGACAAACATAACATACACACACACACACACACGCACACCGACACACAAAAAAGCACGCACCACACAAAGCACACATCACACACACACACACACTCACAATCCTGGGGCCTCCTGGAGCCTCTTCTGGTATCCAAGTCGGGCCTCCTGAGGCTTCCTGGGGGGCCCTGGTACACACATCGCAAGGTGTGGCAACCTCACTTGCGCTCGAGTGCGACTTCGCTGTTGCATGTCACTCCTGCTTCAAACGCCCCTTCAGCTTGTTGTATGAGCCTGGGCACACACGTGCCACTTGTATATGTACACCCATATGTACCTATACAGGTGTGTATATATATGTATATACTTATATATATATATGTATACACGAGGTGTCCTCTCGCCGGTCGCCTCGTCGTTCGTTCCTCCTGTGCTCGTCGTCGTCGTCGTAGACGCCGCCGCCGCCACTGTCGTCGTCGTCGTCGTCGTCGTCGTCGTCGTCGTCGTCGTCCGTCGTCCAAATCTTGCGCGCCAGTGCGGGGCCATCCCTGGGCCGACGCCCGTTGCTGACAGGTGGGTGAGGAGGCCCAGAACCTAAACAACTTCATGCCGTCCACGAGGGGAGGGGGGGAGCACGACCTCTGGTCCAAATGGGCACACAGATCTGCGGTCCGAACGACGACAACTGTTGCCAGAATGATGTCTAAACATAGCAGCTCTAAAAGTAGAAACAACTCCATACACATGAACTTTTGGCGCTCCGCGCGGAGCAGAGCTCTAAGCATCTATGGGTTTGACATTGTTTGTTCTTCTTATTCTTCTTCGAATCCGGCTGCCCTATCTGCAACTGCCTACCCCAACACATGCCCCGGCCTGGAACCATATCCGCCATCGCACCATCGCATTCACCAGGCCATGACACCAGGGCACCGTGAACAGCGATACGACGCGGGTTGATGTTGCTCCGTCTTTGGCTCCAAGGCCCTCGCGGGTCGATCGGGCTCGAGAAGCTAGGCAGATGGGGTCGATAGTTCCTGTCGTGATGTTACACGTCGTCGGATCTCAGGGTTCTGAGCGATCTCTCTTCTGAATAATGACGCAATCGTTTTACACATTGGCCCTTGCATTCTTGTTTGCCCATTCAACCTATCCTCAACGAATCTAGTTCGCCAGCTCCTGCCGGGTATCGCGCCTGAAAATCTAGCATCTTGCGTCCTTGCATTGCGTGCCTCCCCATGATGTCGAATGCACCTCCTGGGGCCACGACACGTGGTTTGCCCCTTGGGGGCGAAGGGGGTAACGCGTCCCTTCCCCCAGGGAGAGAGAGCTGAGCACCTCCACCTCGTGAAGCGTCCACTCAATCTAGCCCTTCGGAGCTGCATCTGGTCAGAAGTAGCTCCTCCTCCTCCTCCTCCGCCCCCTCCCTCCTCCTGCTCCTGCTCCTGCTCCTGCTCCTGCTCCTGCTCCTGCTCCTGCTCCTGCTCCTGCTCCTGCTCCTGCTCCTGCTCCTGCTCCTGCTCCTGCTCCTGCTCCTCCTCCTCCTCCTCCTCCTCCTACTGCTCCTCTTCCTCCTCTTCCTCCTCCTCCTTCCCACCTCCTCCGCCTTCTCCTCCTCCTCCTCCTCCTCCTCCTCCTCATCCTCCTCCTCCTCCGCGAACGCGCTCGGCTGCGGCCGGCGGACGCGGGGCCCCCTGACTTTTTACCTGATCTGCCCTTTGCAGAGCAGTCCACAAACGGCACCCACCCCATCGAAACTAACGCACCCACCGCGTCAAGGTTGACGCGGGTCCATGTTTGGCTCCATGTCCTGAAGCCTTGGCTTCTCTTGCTTGAGCAGGCCGGCTGGCTTGGAGGCCGAAGGGTATGTGGCGCAAGCGCCCCTCCTTCTTCCTCGGCACTTCCCTGCACATGCAATTTGGCAACGCGTGCGTGCAGGAGGGGTTGGGTGGGTTCCCCGGCGGAGCAACTCTGGGCAACGGTCGCGCTGGAGGAGAATGACGGGTGCTCAGGCGACGCCCTTGGCTCAAACCCGTCCTTCGCCTCTCCGCCGCCCCCCCACCCCCGTGGCCCTAGGAGGAGGAGGAGGAGGAGGGAGGAGGAGGAGGAGGAGGAGGAGGAGGAGGAGGAGGAGGGCGGAGGACTAGAAAATAACTGATGTCGTCGAGCGAGGTCTGGGCTCTCCCCTCCTCCCCGCCTGCCCCCCTCGCTGATCCGCGGCGCCTTTCTCCAAGAGGGCGGCGCGGGAGGGAAGGAAGAGGCGGGTATACACGCGAGCCCTGCCTGGCCCTTCCCCTCCTACTTCTCCTGCACTTCATGCTCCCCCCCCCCCGCCCTTCCGCCCTCCTCCTGCTCCGACTCCTCCCCCTCCATCTCCTCCTCCCCTGCCTTCTGTATCCTTTTCCTCGTCTACCTCCTCCTCCCCTCGCTACCCAGTCCTACGTTCCTGCTCCACCTGCTCCTCAACGACCTCCTCGTCCTTCTGTACCTTCGCATTTCCCCAACATTCTCCTCATTCTACCACTGCCTCCTCTACCTGTCCTACATTGTGTGTGGTGTTTGGTGTTTGGTGTTTTCTTACAATGTCCTCCCTCCAATCTCTTCCTTCCCCTCCTCCCCGCCTCCTCCTCGTTCTGCCGCTGCTGCTTCTCATCGCATCTCCTGCTTGCTCCATGTGACCTTCTCATCTTCTTCTTGCTCCTTCTCCTTCTTGATTCCTCCGTCCTCATCCCCGCTCCGCTTGCCTGCTCCTCGAGATCCGCCTACTCCTCAATCTTCTCCTCCCCCTCATGTACCTCATCCCCTGCCTCGTATACTCCCTTCTCCCTCTCTACTTCTTCATCCTCCGCATCCGCCTCAAAGATGTCCTCCCTCCTCCTCCTCCTCCTCCTGCTACTCTTTCTCCTCCTCCTCCTCCTCCTCCTCCTCCCGCCCCCCCCTCGCTCCTCCTCACGCCCCCCATCCTCCCCCGCTCGCACTCCTGCCCCTTCTCCTCCTGCTCCTCCTCCCGCCGCTGCTTACTTTCCTCTTCCTCCTCCTCCTGCTCCTCCTCCGCCACTGCTGCTCCTCTTACTCTCCTCCTCCTCCACTCCTCCCCCTACTCCTCCTCCATTCCCTCCCCTCCTCCCTCCGGCCGCCTCCCCGGCCCTGCCCCAGCCTGCAGCTGCCCCTCCGCCCGCCGCGGGCGCGGTTCCCGGGCCTCGTCGACGTCCAGGTCGAAGTCCGCGAAGAGCCCGCTGTCCTTCGCGCCCAGCAGCTTCTGCAGCAGCGCCTCGCGGCAGTCGCGCGCGCGGCGCGGCAGCCCTCCCCTCCCCGCAGTGGGGACGAGGGCGGCTGGTCTCTCGGCCACCACGGGTGGGGGGGGATGGGAGGCAGGGACCTTCCGGGAGCTCCCGAGCCCTCGCGTGGCGTCCTGGGGCCGCCGTGGGCCCTCCCGAGGCCTGCTCGGGCCCGAGCCCGTAGCCGCCAAGGGGGGCTTCGCAGGGTCTCCTGGGGCTGCCGCGGCTCGGGGCAGAGGGGAGGAAGGGAAAGGGGGGCCGGGAGAGGGGCGGAGACCAGGCAGGTGCGCTCGTGCCAGATCTGACATCCTACCCCTCCCACCGTTCCTTCTGATGGCGCTGACGTTTCTCTGTCCGCCGACGAGTGCGCGGCGGACCCGGAGCCGCCCAATAACCCCATTTTGCTGTGCGCAATCAGGAAGGGTAGCTGCGCAAACTGGAGGTGGCGGATGAGCAGGAGGCTGAGCATGAGGATGAGGATGAGGAGGAGGAGGAAGACGGAGGAGGAGGAGGAGGAGGACGGAGGAGGAAGGAGGAGGACGGAGGAGGAAGGAGGAGGAGGCCGAAGGTGGAGGGAGGAGGAGAGACAGCAGCAGCAGCAGCAGCAGCAGCAGCAGCAGCAGCAGCAGGAGCAGGAGCAGGAGCAGGAGGAACGGGGGGGCCATGGCGACCAAGGGAGGGCGGAGGAGGGGAACGGGAGGGGGGCGGCAGCGACGGGGAGGGACTCGGATCTGGACATGTGGCCTGCGTGCGTGGTTTTTCGCTAAGTGACCGAGGATGCTCCTCGATGGCCCTCGCCGAGAGAAAAATGCACACGTCCGAGCGATGGCAAGAGTGTGAACGAGGAAAGCAAAGCGCCGATCCTGGAATGAGATCCGCGCTGCAGCGGAAACGCCACTTTGAAAGCACAAAGAACGCTTCGACGAACAAGCCAGGTGACGAATCGACGTTTGGATTCCTTTGCGTAGACAGCCAATGTGCTGGAGCAGAAGGGACTTGTGAAGATGAAGGGGAGAGCATGGATGGGGGGAAGGAGTGAGGCGAGGGAGGAGGGGAGGGAGCGGAGGGAGTGAGGGCGCAACGGAGAGAGGGAAGGTAGGCAGGGTGGTGAACAAGCGGGGGGATGGTAGACTACACAAGCATAAGGCGCATACCAAACGTATTTGCTAGCTCCTTGGGGAATCGTCAAGGGCACCCACCTGTGCAACTTCGACGCCTCTGCGCATGCTTTCTGCTGTCCCGTCTTCTTTGAGGAAGCAGGTGGATGAAGGGAACAGGGGAGCAAGGGGAGCGAGGGGGAGAGGGGCAGAAGGGATCGGAGGGACGGAGTGTGCGGGGGAGAGAACTGGGGGGGAGGGCAGCGGGGGGAAGGATAAGGGAGAGGGCAGCGGCGGGAGGGGCGAGGGGGAGTGCAGGGAGAGGGTCGCTGGGGGTGGGGAACCACCAAAGGTGTGATGCTCCGCCGCCGTGCTCTTGAGGCACGAGCTGGAGTGTCCTCGGGTCCTTGGCCGCATCCCTTGAGTCGGCGGTGGACCAACCTCCCGTTAGTTTACCTCCCCTGAAGGAAAACGGCCTGAGACCGAAACCGACGGACCTGGACCCGCAAACAGAACGGCCGCGACGCCCTCTGGCGAAGCGAAACTGGCCAATTCACGAATCGACGTGTCAGGGTAGGTCTGTCAACCTCCGATTGAGGCCTCCATCGCGAGGGTCCTCCGACGGGCCCAGGCGCCCAGCTCTCCAAACCCTCCGGGGCTCCCGGCGTGCCCTTGGGCCCCGCCGTGGCCTGTCGCGTGCCTCTCTCGGGCCCAAGAGGGGCTCCAAGACAGGCCGCCGAGAGGGCCCCAGGAGGCCACCGAGAAGGTCCAAGAGGGCCCCGAGTCGCCCAACACGCGGTCCACGCCGAGGATGGCCTCCAGCTGGCGAGAGCCCAACACGCCCCGAGAGGCCACAATCATGGTGTTTTTTCCATGTGTTTTTCTTCTTTTTTCGGTGGGGTTTTCCACGTTTCGAGCTCCCGACGCTCCAAGACGTCACAAGATACCCCCAAGACCGCACCCAGACGGCCCCAGAGGCCCCAGGGCAGCCCAAGAGGCACCCCAGACGGCCCCAAGAGGAGAACACGAACCGAAAATCCGAGCCTGCCGTTCCAAGAGGCGCCCAGGAGGCCCCAAGAGGCTTCAAGAGGCCCCCACCCGGCTCCAAGGGGCCTCAAGAGAATCAAAAAGAAACCCCACGAGGCCCCAACGAAACTTCCCCAAAGCTTCAAAACTGCCATTAGGAGGTCCCCGAGGCCTTGCCGAGATCCCAACGAACATCCAAGAGGCCTCAGGCCCACAACCCAGGCCTGGTGGCAGGATGGGCCGTAAGCCATTACATCCGTCGCCCCCTGTGGTTTGCCACAATGGTGCTCGGCGTGCTGGAATTGTTTTTGTTTATTATGTCAGAACTTCCACTGAGAGCTCAACCCGCCGGCAACCCGGAAAGCAGCAGAACGCTAGGGGAAATATAATTATCGTGGATTTTTCCTCCCCATGACGCTCTCAAAACTGGCCTCCAAGACAGCCAAGATGGACTCCAAGACGGCTAAGATGGTTCCAAGAGGGCCCAAGATGGCCCCAAAATGGCCCCAAGGCGACCCAAGATAGCCCAAGACTGCCCAAGAGGCCTCCAAAAGGCCTCCAAGACGGCACATGAGGCCTCCCAGACTCCGTGTTCCTCTTCCCTGCTCCTTTCTCTTCCTCGTTCTCCTCCTCCACCTCAGCTGCCTTCTCTCTCCCTCTCCTCCTCCTGACCCTCTTCCTCCAACGATCCAGGGAACTAGCCGAGTCACACACATCGGACTGTCCTGGATCGGCGGCGCAGGCCGGACGTCACTGCTATGTGCCCACATCCACTGCCGCGGGGCCGTGTCCCTGGGACTCGTTGAGCGGTGCATGCGGACATGTGCCTGCCCATGCGGGGGTGAAGATATTAGAGTTAGCGGCGCGCACAACGGGGCAGGGGGAGGGGGGAACGCTTCTTAGAAGGAGGCCGCGTCTTAAAAAGAGGCGCGGGCCTTACATCCCTAGGCAAGGCCCGCGCTTTCTTAGAAACAGGGGTGCTTCCAAAAAGCCTTTCCCCCCCCCTACCCCCCTTCTGCGCGTGGCCGATAGAAGAAGAACCCGACGGCATAAACGTAAACTCTTGAAGGTCCGCGTGAATGCATTGGGTCGGCAATGGACCCCTCTCTTGTGGGCGCGCCTCCATGGCGCGCGGATCCCGCCAAAGACGGCGCCAGAAACGCTGCCAAAAGGGGTACAGCGCAGCTCCGTGAGATCCGCGCGGACCTTCGTCGGGGCGTTGACCTAAAGAACCCAAAATCCGCCGGCCCCCTTGTGGGGCCACCAGGCTGTAGGCGCGGGATTCGCAGTTTCCTGTGCCAGTTGTAGCTTGTAGTTTCCAGTGTTACAGTTTTGCTTCTTGCTGGTTACTGTAACTAATTGATTGACCGCGCGACTGGGGGGGAGGCCCAAACCAGATATTTAGCACCTCCTGGGCGCGTTGCCTGAATTGCTGGGGGGGCTCGAAATCGACACCCCCCACACAGATCGGCGGGGTCAGGGTCCAAAAACACACGGGATTTGCCACATTTCTGAAATTCGGTGCCACCCCTCACGCAGATCCGCGGGGTCAGGGTCCAAAAACACAGGGGATTTGCTACATTTCTGAAATTCGGTGCCACCCCTCACGCAGATCCGCGGGGTCAGGGTCCCCTCACGCAGATCCGCGGGGTCAGGGTCCAAAAATGATCCTATTAGGAGGAAGGCGAAGCTTTTCGGATAATGGGCGATCTAGAGACGCAGATGCTTCGGACATCAGGGACACGATCAGCATTGCCAGTGCCTACTGTGCTGGCAATGGTCCGCGGGCGGCCTTACCCGGCTTCGTCGGCGCCTACTGTGCCGCTGGGCTAAGGCTCGGGGGGTCACGTCCCCGCGGGGCCGAGTGCCAGCCGTCCGTTGGCAGGGCGCCGCACAGGGCGCATTGCGTCGCAGGGCGTCTCACATGGCGCCCTGCTTCGCACTTTCCTGCCGTCTCGTGGCAGGACGCCCCACAGGGGCAGGCCGCGTCGCAGAACGCGCAATCGCACCAAAAACGTGCGATTAGTGTTGAAGAGTGGGCGCTGTTTTGCACGGCCAGGGCGGCAACAGGCACGCCGGCTGGGCGGAGGGATGCAGCTTTCGCGTCGTTTTGCTTTTTCGGCTTGCGCCGCGTTTCGGAGGCGATCAACCTCCGCGTTCAGGACGTGCATTTTAAAGCCTCGTGCGCGTGTTGTTTCATCCGGAAACAGAAGAACGACCCGTGTGGCAAAGGCCAATGGTGTTTCATTCCGTTCAAGGTTATTGCTGGGCTATCCCCGGCGAAATTCCTGCAAGATTGGATGGATTGGAAAGCCGCGACGGCAGCTCACGTGCCTTCCCTATTCTGCACCACGACAGGTTCCCAACTCCAGCCTGTTAGCGCGGATTCGTGGCGCAAGGCGGTTTCGTCACACTTTTAAGGACCCAGCCGCTAGCGCGCATTCGTTTCGTAGAGGCGGAACAGAATGGTTCACGCACGTAGCAAAGATCCCCCCGCACGTGGTCCAACGGCAAGGTGGGTGGAATTCGGAGGACGTCATGCGTCATACGTACGCCGACACATCCCCAGATACGCTAATGCAGGGTTTCGTCGATAGCCTAGCAGCCTCTTCTGCAGGGCAGACGACGGACCGGCCGACCAAACGCTTGCGAGAGAAGACGGCATCCGTGCGCTCGCTCGGAGGCCCGCAAGGAAAAAAGACCGCCGGCTCCCAACACGCACGCACCGTTTCGCGGAACACCGCCTCAAAGGGGCCTGCTTCGAGGGGTGATCACCAGGTCGTCTCCTGGCGGCTCCTTCCCTGGTGTAAGATGAAGCCGGGATCGGGGCAAAATTTGACCGGGATAAAAATCATGCTCGGTTTTTCAAA